TTAGTAACAGAAGGAAACGAGTAACAGAAGGAAACGAGATACCTGCTTCTGATTCACATTCGATACCAATATCATCATCAGATTGAGCTTGAAACTGATCTACAGATTGAACATTAAATTGATCTGTTCCTGATACAATTTGAACATTACTTTGAACACACATTGAATCGGACAGAGAAAACGATGATACTTCACCTTGAAAGCAACTGAAATCAAATCGAACTATCGACGAACACTGATCAATTTTGTCGATCAAATACCCTAATCTAGTAGAATCACTTTCAGATAATGATTCCATATAAACTAAATCTATATAAAAATGTAACAATTTAACATAATCGATTAACATAATCGATCGATTCAATAAAAAAACGAAGATCACGATGAATCTTTGACAAATCTGTGAAGGAAATATAGGATTCTCATTAAAAATATATATTTAATTAGACGATTACTTTTTGTTTGCATTTGATAATACTAAAATACCCTTACAAAAAATACAATGAAAATTTTGAAATTGAAAAAAATAACTTTTTAAATATTTGAATAACATATTTGGTTAAAATAATAAAACATTTAATAATAACTTATAAATAAAAGGTTCTTATGGTTCTTAATTTTTTTTGGTTCTCACTTAAACCATTATATATATATATAACCGTAAAAGCATGATAAGAAAATAATTGCATAGTATGTCCAAGTGCAAGAAATTACGTTGAAGTTAGAGAATTAATGTGTAAAGGAAGCAACTAGCAAGTAGAAGAAGAAGAGATAAAAAACGAAGAAGAAAACTATATATGTCGTCCCTTCACCTTTATACATTTACAAGATACATACGGAAGCTTCAAAAAGCCATCACAAAGATCCATGCATCCCCAACCTTGCACCTCTATTATATATCATTTATAAATAGAGAGAAAACTAAACACTCTGTGAGTGTTTATGTGTGATAGTCAGTATAGCTCAGTAGTAAAAATGATTCCATTTTAGATGGAGAGAGAATGTACGTGTTCGAGTTGGTACCATAAAACAACAATGGGAAACCTACAAAATGGAAAGAGAAAGGACGCTCTGTTCGACGATAGAGAACCTTTTCCCATTTCTCTATTCCTTTTTTGACGTATATATGTACACACATATAGTCCATTTGTTCTACTTTAAAATGAATCGTTTTTCTTTGAACTGTTTTCTTAGAAAAAAAAATTATTTTACAGTTATTTCAGAACAATAGTTTTAAAATTGTTACATTATATATGTCGTTTCCATTTATTGGACTAACATAAGGTTTCAAACTTAAAAATAGCCACAATGCGTACTAGGTGTAGTAAAAGTTGAACAAGACGTATAAATTGACTGCTCCATAACATTAAAAATATGAGAAAAGAGTGCCAATTTGTATGAATATATGGAAAAAGAAAGAGGAATGGGAAATTTTAAGATTGCCCAAAAAGTAGGATAAAAAATCAGTAGCACATAAAAAGAGTAAATAGGGGGTTGTCACCGTCAATTTGCGTACATGTGGCTGTGCGTGGGGTGGGGCTTCAAGTTCCATTGACACTTAATTTGCTACTACTAGTATATTCTACTGATCTCACCTAAAACCCAGTATCAAATTGTATGTTAAAACTAAAAAAGTTTGTGTGTGTGAGTGTGTGAGAGAGATAAAGATTGTAACGTGTCACGGGTTTGTCTTGAAAAGCTCTTATTTTTCACAGGTTCCTAGACAGACACATATTCTCTATTCCTTCTCTCTCTACATATATATTCGAGGCGCTCTCTCTAGCTAGTAGTATAACTATATTACCACAAGTATCACCATCAGTAATATACATACTTTTAGATCCCCTTTTTCCCTTATAAATTTACTCTAAAGTTAATCCACAACACAATCTGGTCGGCGAACTAAAGTGAACTTGTATGCTTTCGTTTGTGTTTTGTTGAATTCCTCTTTGTTAAACAATATTAATAACACGGATTTCAGCCATATATGTCTAAACTTTTTTGTTAATCTTGGTTAAGATTTAGTTTAATAGTTTTTTTTTGGTGTTTAAAAAGGTGTACTAAATGTCAAGATTTGAACTCCCGTTTCCTACCCCTCTTCCACCAACCCTCATCTTTCTCTGTCTCTCTCTGTCTCTTTCTTTCTCTCTCTAGGATCATAAGTAGAAACACCCAGAAGATTTGAAAGAAGGTACGATTGTCATGGCGTCGATGATAGATAACTCATGTGAAGGGATATTATTATCACTAGAGTCCCACAAATCAATGCCTGCTCCTTTCCTCACTAAAACCTACCAATTGGTTGATGATCCTTCAACTGATCATATTGTTTCATGGGGTGAAGACGACGCAACCTTCGTTGTCTGGCGGCCGCCGGAATTCGCTCGTGATCTTCTTCCGAATTACTTCAAACACAACAACTTCTCGTCCTTCGTTCGCCAACTCAACACCTATGTATGTAACAGTCTCTTTGATTTGTTTAATTAGCTCAGTGTTTATCTTCGTGGATACTGATTTTGTGTTTGTGTTTTTGTTTATGATGATTAGGGTTTTCGAAAAATCGTTCCAGACAGATGGGAGTTTGCGAATGAGTTCTTCAAGAAAGGAGAAAAACATATGTTGTGTGAGATCCACCGCCGGAAAACATCACAACCACACGTTGGGCTAAACCATCACCATTTCACGGGCATTAACGGAGGAGGAAATGCTTTCTTTTCTTATCCATCTATACGTGACAGCATCTCCCCACCAAACTCCGACGACCACCTATACTGTGACTCCCCACCACCTCTCTCTTCACCAACCACCACCGCCTCCGCAACAACAGCAGCTACGTTGTTCGGGATCTTTCCAAACAACAGTATTTCTAGCAACATTAGAGGTAACTCCGTGACAGCGTTATCAGAGGATAACGAGAGGCTTCGGAGAAGCAATAACATGCTGATGTCCGAACTTGCACACATGCGAAAGCTTTACAACGATGTTATCTACTTCGTACAAAACCACGTGAAACCGGTGACACCAAGTAACACATACCCTTCATCTCTTCTCTTACCTTCAACAAACAACCCATTAATGGTGCAAAAGCAGCAGCAAACGACGTCTTTTTTCAATAACGCGAATGCAACGGTTGTGTACCCTAGTCAACCTCATCAGCTGGAGCTTTATGATTCGACAATCAGAAACATTGTAAGAGATCAAGATACAGTAAACAACGCTGCAAGAACGAAGCTTTTTGGAGTTCCGTTGTCAAAGAAGAGAGTGCACCCAGAGTACGGGAGTGCTAATACAATGGTGGAGACTCACAAGGCAAGATTGATTCTTGAAAAGGATGATTTAGGGTTGAAACTCATGCCTCCTTCTCCTTGTTGATTGTTAATTTTTTTCTTACTTTTTGGAACTTATAAAGTTCATTAGACTGTTTTTAGTAACTAATCAAACCCAGTTATTCGTTAGTTTATCTGGTCGTGATGATATATTGAAGTTGGGACATGATTTGTTGATTTCTCCTTATCTTTCTGCGTCTACGGTTTTGATATCTGAACGTTTCAGTTAACGTACTCTCGCTGATGAAGGTGTCACTCATATAGTCATATCTTCTTTACAGATCACAGACGCTTGTGTTAAAATACTAGGGTCCAAATTAATTTAAATCTCACGATTTCTCTTTTTTTTTTTTTTACTTCTTATTTCTAGTTTCACAATAAATGGGAAGTGAAGAGTTTCTCACAAGTCACAAGATTATCATGAATTCTAATTTCTGCCTAATACGATTTCAGGATTTTGTCTTCTTAAAAATGCAATGTTGTTCACGTGTTTACAGTGATGACATGTTATCTTTCCCAAAAATCAGAATTGACTGTTAAATTGTCAAGAATTCATCCTGATTTTTAATTTCTAGTTTCCCAGAAATTTAAATTTGAATGTTAATTTATACTATGATTCTTTTGATTGAAAACAAGGTTTTTTTTACGAAAAAATTCTCAACAAGTATGAATACGCCATAATGCATGATTAGAGAAAAATCTAGATATAGAGATACTTCCTTTTTTTTTTAAATGTAGTGAGTAATTTAGTTTAGAATCTGACAAAGTACTAGTTTGAAATCAGATTCTCCTAATTATCACTAATAATATCTATTTTCAAGATTTAAATCATTTGCTTAAAAAAGTAGTACGATCTAGGGAAAAAAAAGAAGAAAGAAAAAACTATAAAGATGGTCATGATCATCATCATCATCATGATGATCATATCTTTGTGATTAAGGTTATGATCTCAAAATATTAATCTATTCTGGAAAAGTCATTTTACTTGTTTATTTCTGGAAGATCTCTAGATGCCAGCCATGAAAGACAAAGACAAGGAAACGAAAACGTTTCCTTTGTGAGATTCGATGAAAGGGAAGCATTGGTGATAGAAAAACAATACTAGAAAAGGTTGGTTCTAAACGTTGCAATCAATCAAGTATCCTTCCACTTCTTCTGCTTCTGATACCTCTTCTGACCACTAAAGATAAAAGGAATATCTTTCCCTTTTGCTTTCTTTTTCTCTCCTTTGGATCCCCCTTTCTCAATATGGATTTTAATTTTAAAAATTTAATGGCGCACAATGCACAAGTATAATGTATTTATTTACAGGAACTTATGAGTTATAACCATGTTTTATAAGTTATGAACTTATAATCATGTTTCTGTCAATTATGTTTAGAACATTTACCCGTACGTGTGTACCATAAAATAAACCGAGTCGTGTTGTAGTGATTGGTTGGTGTAATTACACAAAGCAAAAATAGCTTTAGTTGCAAAAAATACGACTTTTTTGGTGTGTTTTTTCCATTGAAGAAAAGTTTCAACATAAAGTTTGATAATAAATTTGTACAAGCTTTTCTCTTGGCCCCTTTATGTGATTGTATCATGTCAATCACCTCAATTTGGTGAATGCGGATTTTTATATATTTATAGATAATTACAATGGGATATATACAAGGTAGATATAAGGCTCAATTATATACCACAAATAAAAGAGAATATTTATAACGGTAATATGTAAACACTTTTAAAAAGTTCGTTACTTAGATGTGTTTAAAAAAATAGTTAGTCAGATTTAAACAAACCCAAAAAGTAAGAATAAATTACACGAATGGTCCCTATGGTTTGGGGTAATTTGCATGTTTGATCCTTAATTTATTATTTTTTAATTCGGATGGTCCCTTCTGTTTTTTTTTTCGTGCTTGGTCCATGTCTTACCTAAAAAGATTATTGTGTCCTTATTAACTTAATTTTTTTAATTAATTTTCTTATTTATGTATTTATTTTTTATATATTAAAAAAATTAATAGACCCCACATATATATATTTCATCACCCTAAACCTGAAACCATATTTGAGAAACTCACTAGTCACCATCTCATCTCTCATCCTCGTCAAATTCTATTTTATTTCCATCTTTAGTGACATCGACGTCTTCACCATCCTTTCTTTTTTCGGTCCTTCAACTCTGCGAACCAACACCACAACCCATTGTCTCTTCATCGAATTATCCACCACCACAACCCAATACATCACAATCCTTGCAGGAAAAGAAATTCACTTATCGTTGTAATTAATTTTTCGGTTTGTCACATCTGTGTAACTATTTTTTTTGTACACATTTAGGTAACGAACTTTTTGGAAGTGTTAATATATGACTATTATGACCGAATGTAACCTGCTACAGCCAGTTATAATGGTCATATGTGAACACTTCCAAAAAGTTCATTACTTAGATGTGTACAAAAAAATAATAGTTACCCATATGTGAACAAACTGAAAAGTTAATTACCTTAATAAGTCAATTTCCCCAAAGTGAGTGTGATGTGTGATTTATAATCAAATTTAAATTTGTAATTGTTTTCACCAAACTATGGTCTATTACACAACTAGAAAAGTGTATCAATCACACAGTAGTATAGTTTAGGTAAAAACTGGTTGTCGATCACTTGGGGAATAGTTAGAATCAGTAAAGAAAACATAATTATTGGTAAAACAATAATCAAAAGGTAATAAAAGGAATTTGATCTTCAAACACAAAACAACCATATAGAAAACAAATACTAGCAAACAAGAATAAAGAAATACTTTCACTTAGCCTCGATTCCCCTAGCAATCATGGTTGATTCAAATGAAATGCAATGGATATTGGTTATACTTCACTGATTACTAAGTTGATTAGATCTCGTGGTCCATTCCTTAATTCTATGAAATTAAGGACTCCAATTACAATGGTCATGTTAACTAGTAATCCCTCGTTTCGTTATTAAGTTCATCTTACGAGGGACTTAATCCAATATTTAATCTCAATGGTCACGATAATTAATTAATTGCATAGAATTGTCATGTAAAGTAACTCATACACATTAAAGTTCTTTCCTTAGTAACCTAACCCTAAGATTTGGTCTGTCTCTAGTAGGGTCGTCCCAAACATATTTTTGACTCAGGACAAAAGAGGAAAAAATACTCTTATAATACACAAATTTCATCAACTGTTTTTATGTTAACTTAATAATTGAAAAAAAAAATTACTTATACTAGCTTCTAAATATAACATTTTTTATTATAAAAAACCCATATATTTAAAGAAAAACACTTCTTCTAGCATTTTGAGATGCAAAATCACTAATAATATCTTCAAAATAGATCATGGGCGTGTTCGGCAAAATTAGCTGTTAGCGGATAGCGCGTAGCTTGTAGCTTGTAGCGTTTTGTTAAACGCTACATGAAGTAGCATTTGGATTTGGAGCGTTTTGTCTAAACTAAACGCTACAAGCTTGTAGTGCCAAACAAAGCTTTTTGTTCAAAACGGAGTGTTTTGTCAAACGCTAGAAGCTAGAAGCTCTCAAACGCTCCGTGCCGAACACTCCCCATGTCTAACATTATATTAATAAAGTCTGTAAAATTTTAGGCCCCTTTAAAAGATGGGTCATAGACAGTCGCCGCTATCACCCACTCTCTGGGAAGGGCATGGTCTCTAGTCAGAGTTGTGATTGATCAGGACAAGTATGATAAAAGCATACATAATTAGAATGGTCCTGTAGATCATGTAAAATCAACAATAAGTTACAAGAATTAAACTAAACACATCGGAATCATCGATTAAAAAAATATTATAACTTAAACGACCTCTAATATCCAAATCATAGAATCTACGCACAATATTAAGGTTCATCCACATCTAAGAGAAAGTAAAGAGTTTTAACCCATAATCTTATAAACAAATTACAAATAAATCAAACAAAGAATGTTAAACATATTGATTAAGCAAACTGAATGATTGTTGATGATTAAGGCCTCCAATCCTTCCTCATCTGAGTTATTCAGCCTTTGAACCTCCAATCTCCATATCCAATAATTAGGTCAAAACAAAAGACCTATTTATAGAGATATTGTTAAACTAATAAAACACGACGCGTAGTAGGGAAAGGTATTACATACAACTTTCCTTAAGGTTTCTTTTATTTGACAGCTTGTCACGACGCGTAAAAAAGGGAACACATCATGGTGTAGACTTTATACCTTCAAAAGATGCACAAGGAGGAGTAGTTTCTGGATCTATAAGCTTGCAAGAAACACCTCCTTCTTCAATGGTCTTCTTCTCCAACCAACAAGAACCAAAAGTCACTAATAAGCTCCAAACTCTCACAACCAAGGCTTAAACTCAAGATTAGTGTTCTTGAGGGAATGTGGTTGATAAGGAATGCCCAAGGGAAGCATAAGGTGGTTTAAATAGGAAAGCAAACCCTTAAAATTAGGGTTTTGAGGCTGAGCTAGTACACTTTCGGTGTACCACATGTACGCCCAACGTACTAGCATGTGTTTCGCAATCTGGTCACATGAGTACACTGCGCGTACCCATATGTACGCCCAACGGACAAGATGAAATGTGAACTCAACCAAAAGGGGCCGAATGTGAAATTTGCAAATAGGTTAAGGCTAAAAATGGAAATACCTTATATTCAGATGCTATAAATGTGAAGGAAACTCTAAAAGTACTTACGAAGATCTGAAGAATGTTCATTAAGTTGTTTTTGTTTATAAAAGAGATCTTAGTGTAAATTGTTACACAAGATGTTGAATTCAAAATAGATAGATATAACTATAAACTACAATCTGGTTATAACTTCATTATGAATGAAGAAAGAGTTTTTTCGGAATGAGCTCGAAGCAAAACATAGTTGTATAATCTACTATAGAATAAGAATACATTGTTACTTTGGAAGATGCAATTCAATATGGTTGAATGAATAATTTTATAGGAAAATGAGATGAGTCCTTCCATTCAAGGATCACCTAGAAATATTTTGCGACATCGAGTATGTACTTACTCTAGCTAAGGACTCTAAGTTAGATCAAAACACCAATCATATTCTATAGAGATTCAACTATATTTGGAATAAAGTTAAGTAAGGAGATAATCGTATTTGTAGAATTCAC